TTAGACATTCATCGTGCATAATGCGCATGACAGAGAGATTTCTGAGGGTATATGCTTTACATGTGTTACTGTACTTTTTATTTCAAAGCTTTTCCTGGGAAAGGCTCCGTGATGATTCTTACTGCCAACACCGCTAAGAAATTCGATCATAATAGCGTTATAGTTACCTACTTTTTATCCAGGGAGATTCAGATGGAACAATCGAGATACCGCCTTTTCCAACTATTGCCATGGTTATAAGAGTGCTACCTGTGGCTCCAAACGTAACAGCAATAGTCCACCTGTTACTGAGACCACCAAGAAAATTCATCGGTCTAAAGAAGAATGATACAGATATGTTGTCACTATGGAAAATTGTACTGCTGCTTGATCAGAAGCCACATAACCAGCAACTTGCTGATAAATTGCACCACTACCCTTTTTTTGTTTTTTAAAATCCTGGTTGGTGTTACACTAGCCTGCAGACCAAGCATAATTTTGGCGACAGGACCAGAGTGGAAGTTAGTCAGTCATCAGTTGAAACAACTTACCGCACCTATGCTTGAAATTTGGAGTCAAACACACTTTTACATGTGATAAACAAGCTTTTGAGACACACTTTCAGTTTTGAACCTTTAGCTTTTGAATGTTAGGGGTAAATTAGACATAAATTGTGGCGTCCATAAAGATTTGAATTATTTTGCAAGGTAGACACTTTTCATAATATACGGGATAAATTGTACCGCAAAACGAGACGGGTTACAGTGGAGCAAATCACTAGGGCAGAGGCTTTTATCTTAATAGGTGCACATGCGTGCATGTGTATGGGGGCCAAATCGCTCAAATTCTAGCTTTGCAATGAAATAATTACGAAAAGATCTATTTTCATACACGGACAACATACATCAGTAGTCCTGGGCGACCATCCCAGAGTTCCAATTTAAGCTTAGTGCGTCGCTTCAGGAATGAAAGAACAAAAATAATAACCAACTGAAAAGAAAAACATAAAGAAACATTAGTTGATTCTTTAAAATGAATCTTATCTCAAGGATTACACAAACAACACCAAATGAGAAGAAAAATTAACTGCCCATTGCCTACTGTTCCACCTATTGCCAAAATGTTGCAGCGCTTCACAAACAAGTATCGCACACAGGCTAGCGACCTTTTATTACAAGTCTTATCATTATTACTTTTCAACAGACATAACTTAGAACACTCAGAACAATGAAATTATTCACATTTCTTCTCTATTCCAACTTTAACCAATTATGGCTCCTTTCCAAGTCCATATCCACTCGATAAAGAGCAAAGAAAAAAGAAATCCCTTATCGCTACCGTTTACGTCGTCGTCATAGTCATCATCATCATCATATATAATTATTATTATTTCATCATTCTTATTATTATTATCATAATCTTCACCCTACTCATCGTCATAATTGTTATTGTTATCATTATTTCTTTAATGGTTTACCCGACAAAATATTAGAAATTTAACAGAGCACTCACTGCGGGAGCAAGACATCCAAAATGAAATTGTCTTAGCTGGCTGACAGCCTTAACACAGCTACAACAAGAGGAAAGTGAAATTTAGTAGCTGATGCATCCATAACTTTCAGTACGTATCATCTCACGAATGTAGTAAAAAAAGGCTCTATCGAGTATGTTGCATGTGGGGCACTATGCAAGTATAGTATCCTAGCTAGAGTACTGAAAACACTGATGAGAGCCTTGTAAAAGATCTGTAGTTAGAGTCACCCGGAGGTTGCTTTGCTATGTAAATGTTTACCTTTCTACATATATCCAGAACTGAATAATCAAGCGGTTACTAACTGAATTCTTTTCAATAGGAGCAATGAACCGATGAATGGCAATGGCAATCAAGAGCGAGTGGAGTCCAATTTGGTCTGTAATCATGCAACCGTGAATCGGTGGTGCGGTTTTTTTGATCAATGGTATTAGATTTCTGACAGAAATGAATGAAAAAAATTCTATTTCACTTTCCATTTCTAAGCATGGCGCATATGAAACAAATGGAAGAAGAAACTCTCAAATTAGTGGGGACATATTTGCAGCTTTAAAACAGTAGTTGGCCTACAAATAAACTAGTCTAAAGAAGCTGTTATCAATATTTGCGTATTACAAACCAAGCATGAAGCAACCAAATTGAAATCTCTAAACATTGCGTTTGTGAGAACAGATCCATTTACTTTTAATTTCAGCCAGAGACTTTGCCAATAAACTCTTGAATTCATTGGCACCTTTCGATGTTATTTCTTCTCTTTTTCTCTAACCGACTTGAGGAGCTTTGCTTTGAGACACTTCCCGCCATGTCAGTTCACGTGCGGTATCAAGTCTTAGAAACTTTTTCAACGAGATGTATGTATTCGATAAACGAGACACATTAACAACTTGTTACAACTTTTTCTATCACTTACTCATTCTCACTTGTCGCATCTGAAGCCATTATGACTGCTTTTCTGAACCCAGTAGGTTTCTGCTTTGCTGAATAAAACTTGTCTAATTTTAGAAGGCTCCCTCCCTAGGGTTTTTTGACCGCGCGAGATCTGGACTCCAACGACACCCAATGTATTTTTAGGCTTTTTACGCCTGAAATAGGCCAACACAACACCCGTGGCGCGTTCGGTCGCTTCGAGAATATTTCAAAAATTAGGAAAACAGGGGAATCATTACGTAAAGGCCACAAAATCTGGTCAACGAAAACTGACTTACGAAGACGGCTGCAAGGAAAAGGAACCACCTACAAAACGGGCTCTAAGGTTATCTCGGGTATGTAACCTACGATGTTAGGGCTATTTGCTTTTTACTGTCCTCGGAAGGTAAACATTATTGTTCTGATCGATCGCGAAGTAAAGGTCTCAAAAGTGGCTCACCAACCCAAAGTGGCCCACCAACAGGCGGCAGCTGAAAATCTACAGGGAACTGGAGTGGTTGATATACAAACTTTTGCACAAGGCCTCAAGGAATGTTTTTTCTGTAAGCGTGGTAAATGTGAATAATTTTTATTTTTACAACAATAATAACCGAGTGACACGCACTGTTTGCCATAGAGCAGCATCTCGAAATGCAGCTTTATAATAAGAATAAGCATGCCAAATGAGTACTCATGGTCCTTGATTCGAAAGGCTACGCATGCTCAGTTACCGATCTTGGCGAATTTCTATTCCATTACGTAATGTTTTGCCATAAGGAAAATAGGTATCTTTTAAGTAAAATTTATCGTGTTTCCTTCGGTGAAATTTCGTATGATTTGTTGGACCATTAAGCATATTTGTGTCCTTCCTAGTGCCTATTAATAAAAAAAATTAATGGGCCCAAATTTGAGATAGAGGAAAAAAAGACAAAGTTGCAAACAGAGGGAAAACTGCCTTTGTAACCCCTATTTTTTGGGGGCTTTTAAATGATCGGCAGGACAATTTTCACTACTAGCGGAAATTTTGAGAGATTTCACCCAAGAAACTTGAAGAAAATCAAAGGCAAAACCCAATTGTCATTGGCGAGCGCCTCCCTTCGTGGAGCCTTGGCTTAATAACTTAAATTATTTTCTTAATATTTACTACAGCAAACGATAGTCCAAACCTTACTCATTGGCTTTTGATAGCTTTCAATGACATAGAAAAGCGAAAACGTAGAAAATTTTCTGGAAAAAAAAGTACGCTGGCGCACGCGCCAACGTGGAGCAAAAACCATCCGGAGCCACCTAAAATAAATAAATTGAAATGAATTAATTAACAATTAATTAATTAAAATAATTAATTAAAGCGAAAATTGGACAGTCTCACTCCCAGTCTTCTCTCTCTTTTCTTTCTCGTTACGGCTGTCTGCTGTTTTCGGGAGTTCTTTCAAATTCTAGACAAATTTCTAGGTAGGGGCAGGAAAGTCAAAGTTTTTCGCCACCTGAATACTTACCAGGCAGAATATAATTTTATTTGAGAGTGTGAGTGTTCTTAATCTCATACCCAGATCCTATCGTTTAATTCTAATTGAAATGGCGTGGAAGGTCTGGGCACGAGACCATATTGATACTTAAGTTCCCCCCCGAAGCTAGAGAGGATGATGGGAAGCTGAGAGACATTTCAAAAACTTGGTATAAGCTGGGGATGCCACTTGTCTGTATAGCAAAAATCTTGCATCCATATTAAGTTACCATCTATTTGCTTTTCCTTTTTTTGTTTTATCTCAATCAGATATATGTATTAGGGAGTCGACGCCCCTGCAGCCCGTCGTTAAACATTTTTCTTCCGCCTGTGATGGGGTATTTGATTACTAGTCCGTATTTCAGACCAAATTTCGATAAGTTATCTAGTTCATACTAACATTGGGTCCGCAGTCCGAAGTCCAGAATCCACCTATAAATTTTTACTGCCGACTTAGCGAAGAACGCTTCGTGCACTGTCGGAAGAATTCCGCTGAATCGTGATACTTTCGACACCGGAAGCTTGTTTGAACGTGACTGACCGTCACATGACCATAGGAAAATTTTACTCGTGAGGAACCGCACTCGAGATTCGTGCTGAAGAAGGTTTCCTCTAAGATGACGGTATACACATGTGAATTAGTCTCATTTAATACCCATGATGGTTATTTGGAGAGATAAATTAACGAACTTTCTTATTTTTACTTCCTACATGGGGTAAACAGTCGTACGAGGATGATGAAAACTTTGGAAGTTACAGCGTGGTTGGTTCATTTCCCAAAGATTTCGGGTAAGTTCTCAGTCTGTATCGATTGAACCTGTGTCACAGTGGACGATAGAAAGTGCAAGTTGTCTTTTTTCAACACAGCTTAGAGGTACCATTTCGTTTCCGCGATTAAGTTTTGTTTTAACGTTCAATAGCCATGGAAATATGAAGTCTAAGCGTAAAACAGTTTCTAACGAGCCAAGCCGGTGTACAACTGTACACAATTTCTTAGTTTTTCTCGACGTTTTCGAATGTTTATTCTTCGCTGGAAAAATTGCAAAGGCTACTTTTCTTAACTTACTCTCGAATTGTTGGACAATTGGAGTAAACCTAGTGTTCAATGGCTCATAACGCGATGATTTGTGCAATATCTGTAATTCTTTGTTATCACATGAAATTCATGGCGAGGGTTTTGAAGCAATATCATCGATCAAGTAAACTGAAATGGTTTGTACATGTTAAATAAAATTGCTCAGCTCTAGATGTATCGTGACCTAAACTGCATGCGGGTGACATTGATCACATTGTGAAATCAATGGGATTATGTCACCGAACAATTTATATATATGAAAAAAGATGCTCACATGGGGTTAAAGGAATTTGTGGTGGAAATTTGTGAGCTCCTTGAAGATCTTTTTGTCGATTCTCCTTACTGTCTGTTGAGGGGAATGTATAAGAGCTAATTGGGAGAATTGCAAGCTAAATTTTGGGAGTTCAATTTAAAGAAAACACTTTTCATGAGCTTCTTGCCAGAACAAACCATACTGGCTTGAGTATAAATTTAACCTCCAACAGCAAATATCTAATGGTTAATTCTTGGCTGCAGCTTATTTCCTTGTTAATAAGCTATGAGAATTTGGTGTTAGATCAGGATAACAATTTCTGCCTGATAAGTTTGAGCATTCTCATTACTAGTTGCTGGATAATATTGAATATCGTGAGGAGAAGTTATGCATTGATCACTTCTGAGAGTGAAAGGCGTTTAGTGAGTGGCTGTGCAGATTTGTTTAAGCAGCTGATATACAGGAAAGTTGTTTGTCCAGACTCAATGCTTTCTATTTTGCACCCCACATGCAGAATGCCAATTCTATCACCACAATGTAGACAACTTGCAATCTGTTTCGGTAATAACATGATTTTGAGTGGAATTTGGTGTAAATAAGCACAAGCAATGTTTTCAATGACATCTAAAGTGCACAAACCTGTAGGGCAAGTCCAATTTGTAGTCTTTGAAAAATGTGCAAGTGCATATTACATCTAATTAGACTTGAAATCATGTTATTACCTTATGAAAAAACATCGCAGTCAAGAAAGACAACATTTTAAAAGCATGCAGGATAAATTTTACTTTGCACTTGTGTTACATCTTTGCTCTCATGAGAATGCACTCATTTTCAGCCAATTAGAAGTGCTTAATTTTTTTTATGTATATTATTAAGTGAAAAATATCTTTATTTTGTGTTTAGCTATGGTCCAGAAGACCAGGATGAACTCTCAAGCAGTGACAACAAACCCAGGATTCTATTGCTGGGCCTTAGAAGGTATGCAAATAACAAAGCTTTTGTAGTTTCAAGAGCAAAATGTTAGAAAATATAACTGAACCCTTTAACTCGCAAGATCTCATTAGCAATTCTCCTTACTGTCTGCTATACAATTCTCATGATGTTATTTTGGAGAATTTGGTATTGGATTGACTGATAATCTCGTAACTGATATTTCTCTTTATTCTCATTACTTGTCTGCTTAATGTTGTTTTTGCTCAAAGGGTTAAGTACATGTACACCTGTATTCCTTCTCTGTCCCCCTGCTTGATCCTTTACACCCCAAGAGTGATGAGCATCTTATTTCTCCTCTCTGTATCCCCCCTGAATCACACATTAAGGTGAAATGTATTTACCTTATCATCTCAGTGGGAATCTTGAATCCTCAAATCCAATCAGCAAATTGCTTGCTCATAACTGTTCCAGTTTTTTTCCTTTTCTTTACAATACAGAACAAGGTTTCAAATTTTTTTTAATGCCATTAGATACAAAAGCATAGCAAATAAGGAAACTAGCAGAAAAAGACTGCATCCTGTCTTCAAGATCTTAGGAACAGTTTTTTATTTTTCTATGTCCTCCTGCATAGTACATAACATATGTACCTGATTTGTGTTACAGTGCAAGACACTTTGTTAACTCCCACTTAATTTTTTAAAATGACACTGTGTATCAGCTGATTATAATTAATATCTCTGCTTTCAATTTTCTTGAAGGAGTGGCAAATCTTCCATCCAGAAAGTTGTTTTCCACAAGATGTCTCCAAATGAAACACTTTTCTTGGAAAGCACCAATAAAATAGTGAAAGATGGTATCCTTGAAAACAAAGGATGGTGTAACATTTTAGGTTACAACTGAAGTACAGAAGATTTCAAACTATCTAAAAAATAATTTACCAAAGGCAAAGTGAATAATTTTGTTGGTATAATTGCTCTTGATGTGCTTTCAAATTCTATTATAGATTTGTTTTTTCTTGTTGAAACACATTGTAACATTCTGTGACAATTGTTTTGATAACTTGTATCTAGGTACATATAAGAAGCCAGTCTCCAGTAGAATTTAACAGGTTTATTCAATTTCATCAGCAAAAACTTTGTATCTTTCTTTGAAATTGTTTTGCCAAACTTAATAGAACCTCTTCTGCCCTGCAGAAGAGTGTTTTCTCCTAACTTGCATTTATTGCTTCCTACATAACATTGGCAAAACGTGAGGCTGCCATTTTGACATTTAGCTCCCCTGCTATAATCACCTTGTGCAAGGTGATTATAGCAAGATGTGATGCAGTCCTCAACCAATCACAGGGCAGGCATCTCTATAATCACAAGAGCAATTATGCATATAAAAGAACCTTCATTTAATACATAGAAGTGATTAATATATAACCTCTCCTTACAATATCCCAACAGGTAATGAGAACATCTACATTTATCAGGTTGAAGTTGTTATCTTGAGTGGACACCCAAATTCTTGTTGCTACATGTAATCTACCAGACTAAGTGAATGTGTAACAGCTAAACAGGAGAATTGTCATGTACTTTCTACTTTTAATATCCATATATTATCCCAACAAACAGGTTAATGAGAATACTCAAACTTATCAGGTAGAAGTTTTTATCTTGATCTGACACCAAAATCTCTTAACTAATTCACAAGGAAATGTTTACCAGTTAGGGAGGAGAATTACCAATTGGGTCTTGAGAGTTTTAAAGGGTTAACATGATGATGTTCAACACTGGTTCAGCTGATGATACCAACATATTGCAGATAACCTTCAGCCATTTTCTTAAATAAAAACCTTAAGTTCTTAAACTTATTTTGTAGTCTTTATCCTCATTCATCCTTGCCCACAGTCCCTTCATGTATTATTTTGTTGATGTTAAGTAACCTCCCTTGTATTTTATTATTATAAGTATTTTAAGTGATTTGTTCTCAACCCTTTTACACCCTAACATCAGTATGCATATTCTCCATACTACTTTCTAGACATTTCCTGGGGTTCTGACAAGGAGAATTTGTTCATCAGTCAAGAGCTTCCTTGGGTGGTGATCATTTCCTTTATTCTCATGACCTTAATGTTTGATTCAGGGGTGATATTGTAAGGAGAAATTAGATGCTGGTCAGCTGGTCACTGTTAGGGGTTATAGGGTTAAAACTGATTTATGCAGGAATATGGACCACAACAAATTCTGTTAACTGAAGCATATTTTTTTCCTTAACTTCATGATCCCTAAGACATATCAAATAGCTCCTTTGTGCAGTTCCAGGTATGTTATTTGTACTTCCTGTTTTTTTATTCATGTTTTGAATATATGGTATTTGAACAATTTTTAAGCAGTGTACTGCAATTTCTATAGGTTTACCAATGAAACCACACACAAACAGGATCTTTGTAAATCCCAAGCCTAAGTTTTACGTTGTGAAATGGTCCACCAAGTTCTTGTTTATCTCAATTTTTTCTTCTTCTTGCATAGATTTGGGACTTTCCAGGCCAGATTGATTTTTTTGACCCAGCATTTGATTCAGAAGTGTTGTTTGGCCATTGTGGAGCTCTTGTTTTTGTTATAGATGCACAGGTATGTCTATGTTATTTATTATCCATGGAGGGGTATGTTGCAGATGAAAATCATTTGATTGATGTTGTAATTAAATCATGTAGGGGAGGGCACTTGTAGATCTTGGACTACCTGAGCTGCTGTGATCTTGAATGTCTGACATGATGATTGCATTAACTCAGGTTTTAAAAATGATGGACAGTCTGCAAAATATGATAATTTGGTTTCATCAGCTTAGTATTTTCAATTAGTCACTGGTATGTAAAGAGTTTCTAAAGCTGATGTTTTTCAGTGCTAGCCCTTTGATGAAGAATACTTTCTCTTCATGGTGGCCAATTCACATCAACCAGCTCCAAGTTGATGAAACCAAATCATCTTGTAATGCCCTCCACAGTCTCTTTAGAATTTTACCCCATTACTTGCCAGTAATCTTATGAATATGAGCGGAACATTTGAAGCTTAGTAACCACGCATTAGATCGGACAGGAAAATGGAAATGTTCCCACAGATAAGCCACACCCCCAATTTCTAGCGACAATTTTTGGAAAAAGATGCAGCTTATCTGTGGGTTTTTACAGTATACTGCTCCTTTTCTGGACTACATTCATAGGAAAAATTTATTTACAAGACACTTCTACTGGTATTCAAACTATTTTATCTCTCTACCAGCCCCCACAATGACTTGATTTTTGCCTTGATGCCTTGTTTATGGTATCCCAAACAGCAAGGGCATTTTTTTTTCTTGATACCATTTTTTTCTCAGAATTAATTTTCTTGGTATATTTTAGGATGATTATATGGACGCCCTTGGAAAGCTCCATATGACTGTAACAAGAGCATACAAGGTAAGCTTGAGCATCAGTCGCCATTTGAGAATGTTTTCATAATGTCCCTTTGACACTTATGATGAACTAGAAACGAATTTTTCCCCACTGTATCACCCTTGTATCACACATTAAGGTCATGAAAGGAGATGGCCAATCGCTAAAGAAACTCTTGATTGGTAAACAAATTCTCCTTGTCAGCACCTTAGGAAATGTATATAGAACAGTGTGGAGAATATGCTTACTGATGTTTGGGTGTAAAGGGATAAATGCATTGCGCCTACCATTGTGAGCATGTTGCTCTAACTCCCAAGATTTGATTGTAAATTTTTCCCTCCAGCAGCTTCACATTTCCTTGTAAATAAATTAGGAGAATGTGGTGTTAGATCAAGATAACAACTTCCTCTGTACCTGATAAGTTTGAGTATTGTTGTTACTTGTTTGCTGGGATAATGAATGAATGTTATAAAGAAATGTTACATATTTACCACTTCTGGGAGTTTGTGGCACTGAAACTGGGATGAGCTTTGACAGGAAGTGGCCTGACAGGAAGTGGCCTGACAGGAAGTAGCCTGATAGGAAGTGGCCTGATAGGGAGTGGCCTGATAGGAAGTGGCCTGACAGGAATTGGCCAGACAGGAAGTGGCCTGCAAGCGTACTTTTCCTTACACTCCACCCAATCATCTAGGTATTCACTCTGTTAGCCTTTAAAAGGTTTTTTAACTTAATCCTTTAATCCTAGAGGTGATTGACATAAAACCTCTCCCTATAATATCCATACATCATCCAGCAAACAGGTAACAAGAATACTCAAACTTATCCGGTGGAAGTTGTCATCTTGATCTAACACCAAAATATCATAACTAATTTACAAGGAAATGTGTAGCCGCTAGAGGGGAGAATTAACAATCAGATATCTTGGAAGTAAAAAGTTAAAGGTGTGAGCTTATATTTGTGTTTATGGGAATTTCACTGCGAAAGCAAGATCTACACGTATCGACAGAAATCCTTTCTTGAATCTCTCCAGGTCAATCCAAACATAAAGTTTGAAGTATTTATTCACAAAGTAGATGGATTGTCTGATGATCATAAAATTGGTAAGAGAGCTGGTTACTTCCTTCACAGTGCAGTGCTCCACAATGATCCCTGAATTTTTAAGTTAAAGTCGGCAAAGTTATGTTTGTCAAATGGTGAGAGTGTCCACAAGTACATTTATATGTCCATGTAGGAGTGTGTTTTTATCAAAGAAATATCTGATAAAAACTTTGAATCATTGTATTTTGTGGTAAGTTTCACTTTCTTGTTTGCAACATACTGGTCAATTTAGCTTGCAGAGCAGGCGTAATATTGGCGAGCGAGTGCTCAGTATTTTCTTGCTAACTAATTTTTTTTTTCTCAACGAAAACTATGGCCGCCATCTTTGATTTTAATGGCAGTGGAAGGCTGTGAGAGAAAAAAAATTTGCACCAAGGGGGTGGTCGAAGGTCAAAAATAAGGAGAGGGGTGGGGGTGGGGGTGGGGGATTGAAGATTACTGGTTTCTTTTGATGTTTTTCTTTGAGACCTTGGTAAATGCGCTGCAATTTTGTATTTTTAACACAGAAACTCAGCGTGATATTCACCAAAGAGCGACAGATGAGCTTGCAGATGCAGGTCTGGAAGGCCTTCACTTGAGGTAATTCAATTTTAGTTGACATGTAACGCGCCTTGCTTGATAGTGTTTTCACACTTATGTGGACCAAATTAACGGTAATTATGTAAACATAGCACTAGACTGACATTGTCGTGCTCTGCAATATGTAATCCGTTTGATGGATTTTCCGTCTTATTTTACAGCTTTTACTTGACGAGTATATACGATCACTCAATATTTGAGGTAAGGTAATATGGTGCTCATAGGAAGATAAATGTTAGAGCTGTGATCATATACATGTATTGTACACAGAGTGATGCATGAGCGTGCGCAGAAATTGAATGTCTCTTCGAGCGTTCAACTCGAGTTGAACACGCGAAGAGAAATTAAATACCATATCTACAAGGAAACATGTTTTGTTAAGTTTATTATACATGTGCATAAACTTCGTATGCCTTTACTGACATAAAAATTCGACAAGCGACCATGGATTGAGAATGGTGACCGCCTCGCCATTCATTCATCAACCTAACAGAGTGGCGCCTAAGGCGAGTGACGTGTCAGTAGCTGATTGGCGATATCAAACACGAGTGATTATTATCGTAATTTTTACACATGTGCTGTAAAGGCTTTTCTCAGGGCTGGAAATCCATGTAAAACATCGCATTTTATATAACAAAGTTTATTGTAGTTCAAGTGAAGGACTGCTTTGACTGCTACAACTGTAAATCTTTCCTGCGTACATAAAACACAGGGTCACCAAGTTTTTATGATTTACTAATTGTCATCATGTTTGTCGTCTTTTCATTATCAGGCTTTTAGCAAAGTAGTTCAAAAACTCGTCCCTCAACTTCCAACACTGGAGAACTTATTGAATATTCTTATAACAGTAAGTACAGCGCCTCGGTTCTATAGTTGAAATAATTTGGTTTTAACAATTGAGTTGATAATGTAAATTGGCCACCGTAGAGAAATTGTACACGTGAAGCTGACGTTTCTAGCATTATTCAGCCCTCCGTCTGAGTTTTGTTCTGGTTTTCTCTAACAGAGGGCAAATGTCAGCTTTAGAAACTCTCTGCAATGGCCAATTTTCAACTCAGTCCCTAAAACCAACTCATCTTGTAATACTTCCACCGACATAGTACCATGGTATCTCTAGAAGCTTATCCTTTTAGTTATCTCGAGACTCAAGTCTTATCATTTCATATGAGATAACTTGAAAAAAAATTCAATGAAATACATTAACCTTTTAACTCCCATGAGTGACCAGGACAGAATTTCTCTTAACAATATCAGTACAAAATCAAGAAGACAAATGATGAGAACCAAGAAAAGTATCAATCGGGGGATTATTATTTGATCCAATACCAAATTCTCAGAAGTAATATTAGAAGAGGTGAGTCGCAGACAGTAAGGAGAATTACTAATGAGATCTTGGGAGTTAAAGGGTTAAACTGACTTGAAACAAATGGATGGGTATTTTCCACTCATATATGTGTAGAAAATAGAGAGCATGTTGTATCTACGACATGCTCATTTCTAATTAAAAAATATAATGGTTCAGTGACTGCTTCTAGCAAATCTTGCCCTGTGATCCACATTTGTTGTAAAAAAATTCAGAGTATTTCATCTTGGGAGTCTTGTCTGTGACTCTACGTCATGAGGCCAAATCATGTCGTATTTTTATTAGCTGTTTAACGTTTCGCAATGTTTACTTCATTGGGGATTAAAATGCTAGAAGCCTCGATAAATCTTTTCCCCTTCCTATTTTTTCTTTTTATTTCTAATGAAATAACAGAGATATTAAAAAATCTTTGTGAAGATGGAAAAAAAATGCGTAACTTTGAAATGGCATCAAAATGTACAGAAGCCATTTAAGCTACTACGACATGTGTGCTTTAAAATGCTCGTTTTTGTATTCCTTAATTTCAACTCTGCAAGCGTTATGTAACATTTTAAGTGCACATGTAGACACCATCTTTAATGTGAGATTTACTCTGTTTATCTGTTTTGTTTTCCTTTTCCAAGAATTCAGGCATCGAGAAAGCCTTTCTGTTTGATGTTGTCAGCAAGATTTATGTGGCCACGGACAGGTAAGTGACTTCTTAACTGGCAAAATGTCCGCGTTTATCTTACGTTGAACCATCGAGTAAGGTTTATGTATGCGTGATGTACAATTTAGGGTAGATTCAAACTATAATTATACAATGAATAGAGGACTTTTTCCTTAATTAACATAGCGTCATCTAATCACTAGGGTGGTTGGGAAAATTCGAAGAAGTGATGCAACCCAGGGCACATTCAAGGGTCTGCTTAATTTCATGAATTCTTCCAACCGTTCTCATGTTTTTACAGGATGCGTAAACGGAAATAAGTCGTCCACTCCGTGAATAAAATGATTCTCCGAAAGCATAGAAGTAGTGTTTACAAAATCTCGTGCAAACTCGCTTGTGCAATGAGAGTGCGCTTACTGTCTTAATATTTGATAAATGTGGTTATTTTTATACTGTGGTCCTTGATTGTGTTGTGCTCTTTTCTTGTGCTCAGTTCACCGGTGGACATGCAGTCCTACGAGCTTTGTTGTGACATGATCGACGTTGTTATTGATATTTCATGCATTTACGGGTAAGGAAGTCAACACCGATGTTTATTACACGTGCACTTTGCAGTGAGGTTCTTGATTTCAGCTCTGTGGATGAGGTCCTAAAGCAGAGGTTACTGGCGGTCTACCACCGCCTATAAGACTTCTCGCCTCCGCTTGTTTAGCATGCGAGTAGGATTCTCGTTTTTGGATTTCGCCTGACGCTTCGGTCACCAATTACACCATCGGCAGCCGGTTGTGGAAAAAGTTATTGAAACCTCTGCCAAAGTGTATTGATTTACGTGTCGTTTTGAGCCATTTAACCAATTGTTTGTGTATTAGGCGTGTTTAATGCAAATTTGCCCAGATTTGTCTAATAAAAAACTCGTTTGCAACAAAAAAAACAATGCCCCTTGAATTAACGCTAGTTGAAGGAAAATTGGAAATTACTTCCCCATGAATAAAATTAACGAAGAAGAGGCGCTTGAGTTTCAGAGTTAGAGAAATCGACGTTTGCCTCCAGTTCGTAACTTTACAAACTTTTCTCGTGTTCTTCCAACATCCCGCGTGTATTATTACGCATGTAAACCGATAGAAACTGCAGTCTGTTGCTTAAAAAGCATTAATCGTATTTGGTCATCAACAGGTTAAGAGAGGAAGGTGATAGCAGTGCTTATGACATGGAGTCTTCGTCGATCATCAAACTCAACAACTCGACTATTCTGTACCTTCGAGAGGTGAACAAGTAAGTGAGCGTTTCCATGGCGCAGAGTGGTCGTGCACCCTTAACTTAAGTATTGCATGACCCGTTAGTTTTTTTACTTCAGACTTCAGTCAGGTCGTGGCAGTCATCTGCTGTTTGATAGCTGGTTTGTCGTACTGCAATGTATATACTTATTGAATGAGGGAGAGGACCCAGCGGACGGGGCTAAAAGTCATGACGCACGAACCGAGCGCCAAACGTTTTCCCGTTCAGCCCGACCAAATTCAGTCAATAAGCTCTTAATCATTTGACTATTAGTGCAAAACATTTTTAAAAGTTTGTTTTAACCTGAATATAACGCACTTGCATGCAAAAGAAGGGCGCGCATCAGACAACTTTACTTCTTCAGTAAAAGCCGCTTTCCTTTTATTTCAACGAGTCAGAACGAGAACTCGTAGTTCATTGAGAAGCGCGACTCATTTTGTCGTTTGTTATATTTTCAGTTAAAGAACGCAATTTTAATTCACGCCCTCGGAAAATGCAAAAGGGCCGCGAAAGTGCACGGCAGAACGGCTTTTTACCGGGCTGGCTCACGTTTACCCGCCCGCCCCTAACACGTCATCTCTTACTATGGTTTTTTATGGGATTACGCGCGCGGGGCTATACGTATCATAAGAGAAAACGAGATATGGCATGAAATACACCAGCTTTAAATTGCGGTTGAAATCACGCACTTGTTTTGAGCATATTCCGGGACAAAGAACCAACCATTATTTGCCTCGCACAATGAAGGCTCTTAAGCTCTGTTAGAAGTAGCGCCTAACTCATATTTGAGTTGCATGGGGTAGGCCTTTTTTTTCTGCAGTTTCGTTAATTGAAGTTTAACTGCGAGTAACGTTTCTAATGATGAAGTAGGCCACATTTTTGTCAGTTATTACGGTCATCTTTCATTATATTCGGAAACAATTCAAGTTTACTGATTTCTTCACAGATTCCTTGCCCTTGTCTGCATTCTAAGAGAAGACAACTTCGAGAAAAAAGGTCAGTGTACAGCGTGCAATGTAGCTAAATGAATGTTGCACACTTTTCAGTTTTGAGGGCGTCTGGAATTCTGGAACAAATGCTGAATAACCCTTTTTCTCGCATTTATTGCTATTGTTTCCGATTAAAACCTGAAAATTTCGTAACCGTTTACCACCTAACATCAGTAAGCATATTCTCCGTTCTATTTTCTCGACATTTCTTAAGTTGCTAACAAGAAGAATTTGTTAAATAATCAATAGTGTCTTTATTTGATGATCATGTCTTTTATTCTCGTGATATTGTGAGGAGAAGATAGATGTTAGTCCTTCTGAAGGGTCAAAGGTTTAAAGATACGTGTTATAGTCTTTAAATAAATGAACGCAAACGTAACCTGGAAGTTTGTTGAAGTTCCTTTTTTTGGTGTGATATTGTATCAAGTTGCTTGTGGAATGCTTTTACGACTTGTTCTGATGCTATATACAATATGTCAGCCAGCTGCTTTCGCTACATCTAGCTTTTCAAAGAGGGCTGAACACACCTCGTCGCCATACCAGTGTGTGAGTAGTCCTTCATGATCAGCGCTTCCGCACATGTGTTTCTTCGCCTGCGGGAAATTACGAGGTCTTTAAAATTGCGAGTCAGCGAAGGGTCCGTCAGGTGTTTAGCAATGATTATTTTTAGTACCAGATCCCCGGCAAACTTCTCCTCGACTCGTCTCCAATCTTTCCCAAGGGTGAGAAACGCGTGTCTTGAAGCGCTAATAATGAAAGTCAGCTCCAACATTTCTTATGATTTGTCGTAGGTCTGATAGACTACAACTTCTACTGCTTCCGTCAAGCCATCAGTGAGGTATTTGAGATTTGTTTCATTTACAGCTCTTAAAGTGAAAAGATATATCAAAAGACCGAAACAAGAATAACCACTATGGCCAAGAGATAAGGAACAGAATGAGTGTTCTCATGAGAACTCAGGTTAAAAACAGGCAAACTACTGAATGCGCGGGAAAACGCGGGTGACCAAACCATGATTAGTTTTCAGTGTACGGCTGATTGTTTTAGAGGAAGGCGCGAGTTTTTTGGACCAATCGCAGGGCAAGGTTTACAATGGTTCAAACGGTGCGCGGAGATGTTTTGTTTCATTTGTTGTACAAAATATTTCTCACTGATGTTTCCAGTTCTTCTTCTCCGCTCACTCCTAAGTTGTTCTTGGCGCGATTTGCGCAAATCTAGGTTTGTACAGAGTTTATAGGCGGTAAACCCACGGTTTGTGCTGATTGGGTTTCGAGCGATCAGGCTCAGGCTCAGGCTCAGGCCCAGGTCTCTTTTCGCTCATTGCCGATGAACACTCATCCTCAGGGGCACCGAATACTG